TTCTGTCTTTCTGGTGAGAGCATGCACCCTATAGCAAAAAACTCTCCAAAAAATAATAAAATAAAATAAAATGAAACCCACACTTAATCAGATGCCTTCTGTTTTTAACAGAATGGGGCTGTGTACACATTTGGAGCCAATAGCTCTGGACAGCTGGGACACAGTGCTGAGCAGAGAGGCCCACAGTGTGTAGAAAGAATTGATGGCCTAGTTTCGCAGATTGATTGTGGAAGGTAATAGACTTTATTATTTTATTTTAGCATGGATAGAAAGCATTGCATTTTATTACTTATAAATGAAGTGTTGCTCTTTTTATGGATTCTTTTTTCCTGAAAGTTTCCTTTTTTCCAAATAGAATGGAACTTTTCAGTTTTTTTCTTTATGCTAGACATTTATTTAATAAGAAATGATTGGAAGTCTACTCTATATTCTGTCTTGCTTGGGGTTGGAGGGTAGAGGGTGGGCTGGTATAAAAAATAATGTTGCTTGTCTGCTTGAGTTGAGAAGACAAAATGAAATAATCTTGTAATCTCATACATGTAGAAGATGATGTGTATTTGCAGGTGCATTCAGAGTTTTGCAGTGTCCTGATAATGAGGACTCTCAGTATTTGAGAATCTGCTCAATGCATTAAAATACCAAAAAATAAAAATGCTTGCAAGGGGCTAGCAATGTAGAGTAGTGGTAAAGCACTGCTCAAGAGAAGTGGGGTCGGGAACCAGCAGTTAGCATAATGGCTATGTCGCTGGACTCCCACGTAGTCGACCGCGGTTCGCGTCTCGGACCCGGTGGCTTAAATCTCACGCCGGGCGCGTGTGCGTGCGTGCCCAAGATCCCGAGAGGAGAATGGAGGAGAAGGGATTGCGGCGTGACCATCCCCCCCTGGGGGGTGATTTCTCGCTTTCTGTCTCTATGTCTCTCTCTGTCTGGCGAGCGCACGCGCCCTATAGCGAAAACCTCTCAAAAAAAAAAAAAAAAAGAGAAGTGGGGTCCACATGACAGCCCTGGTCCAAATCCATGGCCTGATCAGCCTGAAACTCACTGGGCACGTGTGTGAGCAGCTAAGATCCAGTGGGCTGTAAGACTGGAAGAAGGGGATCATGTCATAGCCAGACTCTGTGGAGGGTGCTCACCTCTCTTTCTCTCACTTTCATGTGCTGAGCATGTGTTCTACCATGAATAAAGAACAGAAATGCTTGCATTTAAAACAAAAATGATAGGGCCAGAAGGTGGCATGGAGGTTAAGGGGCTGGATCCCACATGACTGATTGCACAGTTCAAGTCCTAGACCCAGTGGCTTGGAAATCACACTGGCACAGGAGGAGAAGAGATTGTGGTATGGCCATTCCCTGCTGGGGAGTGATTTCTCGCTTTCCTTTTTTCTCTCTCTCTCTGGCAAGTGCATGTGTCCTATAGCAATAAATAAATAAACCAAACCAAACAAAAAACCACACACACACACACACACACACACACACACACACACGATTAAAAATCAAAGACCCATCTGTAACATTCCATCCTTAAGTTTTGTAGTAAGTTAATACTTGCTCACCATCTGTTTAGCCACATCTAATAGTGATTTAACCCTCTAACACTGATGTGTGATAGGGAGCTGGGTACTTGGTAGGATAAATCTGTTATTTTGTGTTAAGAGACATCATCTTTCTCAAAACCATGAGCAACCTGGTCTTCATTAGCATTATTCGCTCTCTTGTAGCTATCACACCCTTGCGTATGTCTATACCACTGGTCAGGTGGTGTCTTTTGGTCACGGACCAAGTTGCACAAGCAACTCTACTCATTCGGAGACCGTGACGGACAACGCTGACATTAGCTGCCTGATTTCTGCCGATGGTAAGCGTGTCACCACTAACTCGTGATTCTGTGTTGATAGATCGATGCCATCAGAGGAGAAATATTCAACTTCCTTGCAAAGGGGTCCATAGTTCTAATACTTTTAAATTTCTGCATTGTGGGTTTTCTCCTATGGAGTAGTTTCTCATAATCATTTCTAAAGATTAAGGTAATACAAAGAAGATCCTAAATTGGTTAATTAAGTCTCAGAATAATATACTTTTATGTATTTCATTAAAACCCTTCTAAAGCACTCCAACCTGTCTCTTTAGTTTAAAAACTAATTTTTAGGGGCCAGCAGGTGGCATGGTGGTTAAAGGCGCTGGACTCCCATATGGCCAACCGTGGTTCTGTCCTGCACCTGGTGGCTTTCTTTCTCATTTCCCACTCTCCCCATCTGTCTCTCTCTGGTCAAATTGGAAAATAATAATAATAATAATAATAAAGTTAAAATAAAATCATTCTTACAAAAACTAATTTTTAATTAAGTGAAAGTATGACATGTAATCTGGTGAAAATCCATCTTTTATGCTATTTGTGGTCAAAATTTGTTTAGGAGAATATAAATTGCCAATAGGTAAGTAAATTTGGCCTGATAATAGATCAGGATTTATTTTTTACTTCCAAAACTCTGAGCATGGATTGATGCTTTCCTTTTAGACCTTGTGGACATTCAAGTCAAACATATTTTTGCTGGGACACATGCCAACTTTGTTACAACTTACCAGGTACTATTACACTTTCTGACTCTGAAAAATCACTTATTCCCTCTAGATTTAAGAATAGTATGTGAAATCATGTATTATTCATATGTACTCAGATTTCTTGCTAAAATAATAAGTTCCTCTATTAGAATACTTTTTTTTCTGATTTTTTAAATTTAAATTTATTTACATTCGTTCACTATGTCATTACAGCAAACAAAATGAGATTTTTCTGATTTTTTAAAATTTAAATTTAACTGTTAGAATACTTTTGAAAAAATATTATGTAATTCTCACTTCCTCCTTTTTCCTTCTTCCTATCAGATAGGACTCCCAAACTCAAACTCATTGCTCTTGTATTAAGTAGTTATTAGTAAAGAATAATATTAGTGATGATGATAACAGAAATGACTCATATTAATTGCAGTCACCATGTGTCAGGCACCAAAGTACTTCAAATGGATCAACATGTTTGGTTTTCATATCAATTCCAGTTGTTATTTTTTCCCCTATTTTACAGATTAAAAAAAATTGTGTCTTGGAGGGGCGAATTTGACCGAAACTACCCTGTTAATCTGACCAAAGTTACCCTTTCTTGGTTAGAGGCAAAGGTTTGCATGCTGTTGGGATAGTCAGGAGATTGTACTTTGGTTGCTCTGTCATAACCATGCAATCCATCGGTCAACGGAAATGGAAAGCCTTTCGTGTATCAGCCTCTGTTCTTGGTTCTTGGGACAGAAGTGAATTATATAGACAAGGCTGTCTGCATTCCTAGTATTTGGACGTTAGAGGGAGCGTCTAACGGCAAGTGTGTAAATACAGGATAAGTAAGATTGTGTTAGAGAGCGATAAGTACTCTGAAGCACAATAAAATGGGTTCTTGGAGATTGATGAGATGGGCTTCTTTAGGAATGCCTGGGGCTGGCTCTGTAGCACAGCAGTTAAGCGCATTGCATAGGCAGATGGAATCCATATGGCCAATTGTGGTTTGAGTTCTGGCCTGAGCTGCTTGAAAAACATACTGGACAGATGTGTGTGCATGCCCCCAAATCTTGTTAGGATGAGGGAGTAGAGGAGAAAAAAGTGAGGGGTTCTCTTTCTCAAGCAAGCACAAACAGCAGGAAAAAAAAAGGCAAGAAAGGAAGAAAGAAAAAAAGAAAGAAATGTCTCAGGGAAAGCTTCTTAGAGGCTGTGACAATTGAACAGAAGTCCAAGACCCAGAGGAAGAGCACTTTAGGAGAGGGAACTGCATTGAGGAAGCTCTGGGGCAAGAGTAAGTTTGGTGTGTGTGCCGGAAAGGCCAGTGAGGCAGAACGCAGTAAGAAAGGATGAAGAGCTGCACAGGATGGAGCCAGTTATGTAAGATGGGCCAGCTATATGAGAGTGGGGTTGGCTGGAAGTGTTTTGTTTTCTTTCTCATTTTTTCTTTTTCTCTCTCTCTTTTTATAGAGAGGTTTTTGCTATAGCATGCATGAGCTTGTTGGAAAGACGAAGAGAGACAGACAGAAAGCGAGCAATCATCCCCCCCCACCCTCCAGGGAGAATGACCACACCACAATCCTTTTTCCTCTCAGGATCTTGGGCATGCACACACATGTGCCTGGCATGAGTTTAAGTTGCTGTGTCCGGGACACAAAGTGCAGTTGACTACTTGGGAGTCCAGTGTCATAACCATTACACCATTTGCTGGTCCCTGGAAGTGTTTTTAAGAAGGAAATCAAAGGCTTAGTTGGATATCAGAATCTGGAGCTTAGGAAGGAGGTCAACAGTAGAATACAAACATGGTAAGTATTAACTAGAAATGGTAATTCTCCAGGGTCCTGGGCTTAATGTCCTCTAGAGAGAGTAAAAGTGAGACGAGAAGGGACACGAAATCAAGCCTAGGAGACTTCTCCAGGAGAGATCCAACCATGGAGGAGCCAGGAAAGGAGACTGATGTCAATAGCTTCTGAAGAGGGGGAAAACCAGGAGAGGATGACTCAGCAGGACAAGAGAAGAAGGTTCTAGAAAGAAGTGGTCAGTTCTGTAAATACGGCTGACAGGCCAAACAAGAGGAGCACATAGAGCTTATTTTTGCCATGGTAAGGCTATGTTTTCTCAGCAGAGAGGTTGAAGCCTGCCTGAAATGGGATTGACAGGGAACCTGAGTGGAAATGATTGGGGTAACTCTGAGAAGCTCTGATGTGAAAGGGAGTTGGGACCAGGGGAGAGCTTCTTCGTGATGAGTAAGAAAGGGTGAATAATTACAGTAGCAGTGTCCTAGAACTGAGGAAGCACAATGCAGGGCGGAATGGAGGGACTTGAGCAGACACATTTACTCTGTGTAATGAAGAGCAGCACAAGTGGGATAGGTTGACAGTGGGAAGGTGATTGGCTCCTGCCTGATGGCTTCAGTTTTCTCAATGATGCTTGAGTCATGGTCCCCACCTGAACACGAGAGCAGTCTAGGGACGTGACAGGGTTAGGAGGAGAAGGAAGGTGTGCAGTAGTTGTCTCAGAGAGTGAGAACACGGATGTCCTGGGAAATGACGACAGTATCGCGTGCTGGCGTGAAATCTGTGGTCCTAGACTGCCAGGGAAATCAGTCGTGCACCTGTGCAGTTTTCTGCTGTGAGACTGGTCTGCTTGGATTTGATTCTGGAGTAATCCAGCTACGTTTGACAGTAGGAAAGGGATGAGTCTGAGGAGTGATAGTAGTGAACCGTGGCATCTGAGCTAGGCAAGGAAGACTGAGGAGGGCTAGGGTGTTGAGCAAACAGGAAGGTCAGTGGATTGCAGATCCTGATGTGTCGAAGAATGTTGGAGTCTGAAGGACGGGAATGAGAAAGCTGGCGTGTGATGGTCTGTGGTTCTCAGAGAGAATGTTTGCAGTGGAAGTTTAGAAGGCACCACAATTGTTGGTAATTATAAAGCCCCACTTACTACCTCTATCTAGAGCAGTGGTTTTCAACTAGGGTGATTTTGCACCCCAAGAAATGTGGCAATATCCAGAGGCATTTTAGGTTGTCATACAGGGTGGGAGTGGTGGCATGAGGAGGGGCAGCTGCTGCCATGTAGCGAGTAGAAGCCAGAGAGGCTGCCGAACACCTGCGATGCACAGGACAGCCCTGACAGCAGGGAACAGTCTAACCCGCAGTGTCCACAGCATCAGTGTAGGGCTCTGACCCAGCGCATGGGCGGTTGGGGTGGAGCAGAGAAAAACCGTGGAATGAGAGCTGAAATTGAGACTCAGGTGGGAGGCAGATCGTGTTCATCAGTTTTGAAGCTGCCGAGAACTTCGACGGCAATGGGATGGTAGCGAAGACAGCGAGGTGCTGAAGTTTTCAGTGGATGAAGGAGAGACCAGGACACTGGGAGGTGGTTATGAAAGGAGGGAGACAGGGGATATGTCTGAGGTCGTACACTTCAGGGGAGCAGGGGATTGTGAAGCAGAAAGTAAAGGGATGGTGTGTTAAGTGCCAGCAGGGAGCGCCCCCAGATCCTGATTGCTGGAATGTGAGAAGTAAAAAGAATCTTGCTCAGATCCAGCTACAGGGGACACTGGACTCAGCTGAGGCATGGCTTTATCTGAGCATTAAACAAAGGTGATGTAGGGGGTCTGGCAGGTGACGTGCTGGTTGAGGTGCTGGACTCCCACAGGGCTGACAGATGTTCGAGACCTGGACCTAGCGGCTTGCTTTTTCACTTTATCACTTTCTCTCTTTCTCTCTGTCTCTCTCGTCAAATTAAAAAAAAAAAAAAAAAAAAAAAATTAAATAAATAATTCTTTAAAAAACATAAGTGATCCAAAATTTCCTGCCTCATAACAAGTTTGGTGTGGGCAGTGGTGAAATTTATAACGGAACATGATGCCTTTGGAAGACGACATGGATGATGGTGACTTTTTAAATTTAAATTTAATTTTTTTTTTTTTTTTTTTAGTTTTTGCCATTGAGTGCATGTGCTCACTGGCCAGAGACAGAGACAATGAGAAGGAAAGTGAGAAGTCACCCCCCAGGGCCATGACCACACCACAGTCCTTCACCATTCTCCTCCCAGGATCTTGGGCACGCACGCACACATGCTCATTGTGACTTTCAAGCCACCAGGTCCGGGATTTGAACTGCTATGAGCCATGTGGGAGTCCAGCACCTTAACCACCATGCCACCTGCTCATCCTGACAGTGACTTTTGACGCCTCAAGTGCCCTGTGAATGCCATCAGTGGGCATTGATGCCCCCTATGAGCCATCTCTCTCCACCTCTCGGCCACTGTCCACGCCTCAGCTGCGCATAGCTTTCCTCTGTTTTTTTTTGGGGGGAGCATTCCCCCATGCTCCCCGTGGAAGCAGCCACAGTGTGGCAGCTGCACCAGCCCTCAGCCCACCTGTCATGTCAGTACCAGCCATGCCCATCATCAGCCGAAGAGCAGTGGAACAAACAGTAAATGCACCCACTCAGGGACAGAATTGGAGCTTTTTAAGTTTTCTGTGATCTTCTTGCCCTGAAACTCCTTCATTTCAGAGTCAGCTTAAAACCTGTCATTGAAGGTAGCTATGCAGACACCTACAGATACACACACACACACACACACACACAAGCAAACAGTAAGACTATTTATCTCCCTCTCTCTCTTGCTCTCTCTTACACACAGCTGGGCTGTTTGGTCTGAGTAGTCCATAGAACCTTGGTTTTCAAAGTGTGGCCCCCCAAGGCGGCAGCAGCAGCCCCAGCGAATTTGTTAGATGCAGGTTCTTCAGCTTTAGCCCTGGCCCCCTGAATCAGAGACGGTGGGGTTGGGCGTAGCAATCTGTGTGTGTGTGTAAGAGAGATCACCCCTGACGATGTGATCCTGGCACACTCCAAAGTCTGAGACTCACTGATATAAAGGTAAAAATCTGTGGGTGATTAAAGGGGGCAAGGAAACCAATTACTGAGTGCTTACTGTAACCCAAATTAATCTAATCTAATCTTTATTTTGGTATTATTTAACTTTATTTATTTATTTATTTATTTTAATTTGACCAGAGAGGTACAGAGTGAGAGAGGGGGAGAGAGAGAGAGAGAGAGAAAATGAGAAAGCAAGCCACGTGGTCTGGGACTTGAACCACAGTTGGCCATGTGGGAGTCTAGCAGCCTTAACCACCATTTTACCTGCTGGCCCCAATACAACCTAATCTTAATGAGCTCAGAGAAGAAGGTATTGTTATTGCGTTTATATATATGAACATTAAGCCTTTTAAAAATATTTATTTATTTTATTTTATTTATTGTTATTATTATTATTTTAATTTGACCAGCTAGAGATAGACAGAGAGAAAGGAAACTGCCAGGTCTGAGACTCAAACTACAGTCGGCCATGTGAGAGTCTAGCGCCCTTAACTGCCATGCTACCTGCTAGCCCAGCATTAAGTGTTTTAGAATATAATGCTCAGTGGGGGAGAATACACCCCCCAAAGAGTTGTGGTCATGTGCAATCCCTTCTCCTCCATTTCTTCATCAGTCAGGATTTTTGGCATGCTCACACATGCACCCAGAGTGTTTTTCAAGCCCTTAGGGCCGGGACTCGTTCCGTGGGGTTGGCCCCCCTGGGATTGACTCTCCTGACCACCAGCCCCAGAGCTGGCCCTATTTACTGTGGTAAACAACTGTCACCCCTCTCTAGCTCTAAAACTTTTTCATCGCTCCAGAGAAGCTCTGTAACGATTAGAATTTCATTTCTTTTTCTTTTCTTTTTTTTTTTTAAAAGAGATTTTTGGTATAGGGTGTGTGAGCTCACTGAAGACACAGAGAAAGAAAGTGAGAAATGACCCCCCAGGGAGGAGGGTCACACTGCAGTCCCTTCTCCTCCATCATTCTCCTCTCAGGATTTTGGGCATGCACACACACTTGCCTGGCATGAGTTTCAAGCTGCTGGGTCCAGGGCTTGAACTGTGGTCGACCACATGGGAGTCCAGTGTCTTAACCACTGTGCCAGAATTTCATTCCTTTTTATGGTTGAATACTCTGTTGTGCAAATATACCAAGTACTTTTACCCACTCATCTGTTAATGGACTCTGCTTGTCTCTATCCTTGGCTGTTGTGAATCTGCTGCAATGAATATTCATTAACAAGTGTCTGCTTAAGGGCCCGTTTTCAGTAAGTTTATGTTATCCCATTTTTTAAAATGATGAAACTGGTCCAGCTTGTGGCATGGTGGTTAAGGTAGCTAGATCTCACATGACCAACAACATAGTTTAAATCCTGGATTTAATGGCTTGAAAAACATGCCAGGTGTGTGTGTGTGTGTGTGTGTGTGTGTGTGTGTGCCCAAAATCCCAAAAGGAAAGAGATGAAGGAGAGCTTGCTATGTGGTCAAGCCCCATGGGGGATGATTTCTTGCTTTCCATCTCTCTCTTTGGTGAGCACATGTGCCTTCTGGCAAATTAAGAGAGAGAGAGAGAGAGAGCGAGCGAGCGAGCTGTAACCCAGTTGTGGACCAAACGAAGTGACCCAGGCTAGGAAGTGGAACAGCGGGGCCAGAGTGTTGTCAAATACCGGGTTGTTGGAAAAGTCATGATGCATTTTTGCACAGAAAAGCCCGTCATGACTTTTCTGACAGCCCAGTCTCTCCCTGCCAAGTGCCACTGCCGCAAAGGGCGGGGCCTATCTAGCAGACCAGATGCTTTCCCGTGTCATTTGGTGCCGGCATGTGTGTGTGTTTTCCTGATCTTGTTTTTCTCTTCCTAAGGGTACTAGTCCCACCGGCGTATCCAGAAAAACCCTGCCAGAAATAAGCCGAATTCACCCGTCCATGACAGAGAAGTGGTTAGGGATGAAGAGAGGAAGTGCTGAATACGAAGAGGCGAAAAGGTAGCTCTGTCTGACACGTTGTAAACCAATGTTAGCTGGTTCTGAGCCTCGGTCCTCAGATTCTAGACTTAACGAGGAGGGTTTGGCTTTGTAACGAAGGTGTTTGTATTTCCACCATGATTCTCTTCCACTTCCTTAGTTTGAGGTCATTGATCTATACATTCGCCTTTTTTGTTTTGTTTTGTTTTTTAGTTTTTACATGTGTGCTTGCCAGAGAGACACAGAGGGAAAGTGAGGGGTCACCTCCTTGGGGAGGTGGCCACGGCACAGTCTCTTGTCCATTTTCCTCCTGGGACTTCGGGCATGCACCCAGCATGCGTTTAAAGCTCCCAGTTCTGGGATTCAAACTGCGGCCAACCATGTGCAAATCCAGTGCCTTAACCACCACATCACCTGCTGGCCCCCTGCACTCATCTTTTATTTACTATGAATAAGAGCTGTTGAGGACATACGCTAACCTAGGCATGTTGCTGCGTGAGGAGCAGGAGTGAATCAAAAAGCTCACAGAGACCCAGCAGCAACAGTGCATGCTGGTAGATGCTGCTACTTGGCAGCTGAAGTCACAGGGGAAGCCTGGGTTCGATTCCTGGCCCCTGTCGAAAAGCTAGCATGGTGACCTGTAGCTATAGACCCAGCTACTTGGGAAGCTATGGCAGGAGGATCGTGACACATTAATACTTTGTCTTTAAAAAAAAAAAAAAGCTACAAAGCCCGTTTATAAAGTAGACTGTTTTCATTTTTCATAGTTTACTTTCTGGTGGAGTTCCATGAGTTTTAGTCTTTAGAAGGATGAATTTTATTTAAATCTAGATGACTTAACTATGAAGCGTTTTAGTGAGACTTAGCAGTACGACGTGCAAAGTATACCCAGAGTCTGAGAGTCTCTTAAGAGAGTAGTTATTGACGTTAATAATGAGCCCACGTCATCAGTTTTTTATTCAGACATAATATCAGAGGAGACGTGCTTTACAGTGTGTTGTGACTAATCCTTGTATTACTTTTGCAGTGAAATTAAAAGAATCTTTTCATCTCCCGCTTGTCTGACTGCGAGTTTTTTAAAGGAGCGGTAAGACTTATATGAGATTTGCCTTCATTGAAAACGCTGGGCAGTATTTAAAATGGAGTGTTTTGAGTCGGTTAGTTTAATTGGTGATTTTCCCCGTCTATGTCTAGAAAGTCCCACCGAGACCCAGCTCTGATGCACGTGCAGTAGGCCGCTGCCGCCCAGTGCTCAGGCTGTAAGGGCCGACCTGAACATGCAGGGCGTGCCTACAGGTGCACCCACAATCCTAGCCGGCTGGGAGGCTAGGCAGAGGGCACTTGTAGCATGGTGCCACCCAGCCAAAGGTATCACCCTCTCTCTCATGAAAGAAGGGAAGAAACTTACAAGAAATATGCAATATAACAACTCTATAGGTTTTTTTTTTATGAATTATTTATTTATTTAATCTCGTTTATTATTATTATTTTTTAACTTGACCAGACAGAGTCAGAGAGAGAGAGAGAGAGAAAGGGAAAGTGAGAAAGCAAGCTTCCAGGTCCGGGACTTGAACCACCGTCGACCACATGGGAATCCAGCACCTTTAGCCATCATGCCACCTGTTGGCCCTCCATACATTGTTGAAAAATCTTTTCAGTCTATAATTTTTCTATTAGACCACTGTAAATTGTCATTCCTACTTCACATCTCTACTTTCTCTGCTCTGCCTTCCTGTTATGTGATTGAATGTGGGGGGGAGAAAGTGTGACACCTTTTCTCCTCCCTCTGTCCCTGGTCTCTGTAGTTCAAACGAGTCTTTTTATTATTTAATTTTTATTATTTTTAAGAGCGTTTTTTTTGCTACAGGGTGCAGGTACTTGCCAGAGGGACAGACAAAGACAGAAAGCAAGAAATCACCCCCCAGGGGGCATGGCCGTGCTGCAATTCCTTCTCTTCTTGGGATTTTGGGCACACACACACATGCACCCAGTGTGAGTTTCAGGCTGCTGGTCCTGGACTTGAATTGCTGCTGACTACATGGGAGTCTAGCAATGTAATCCTCCCGCCATCTGCTGGTCCCTCAAACGAGTCTTTTAACGCTGAATACTTGTACTCTGCCTCTTCCTCCTGCATGAAGGAGAGAGGAGAAGGAGAGAAAGCAGCATACAGGGGTCGTGAACTGCCACCTGCCCTCTCTGGAGGCTGCGGTCCAGCTGACTTCTTTCCAGCTGTGTCACTCTTCCGCTTCTCCTTCACCTGGGCAGGTCCCAGCCCTCCTTTGTTAACTTGACCTCAGGTTGGCTCTCTGGCTCAGAAGATGGTTGTACACATCTGTCTCCCCTACTCCTGCCATTAGGTGGTACTCACTCACCCTGTTGCTGTTTCTTGCCCGTACACAACCCCAGCAGCTCATTGGTTCTTCTTCTTCCTATTATTTATTTATTTTTAGGAATTATTTATTCAGTTTTATTTATTACTGTTATTATTCAATTTAACCAGAGAGAAATGAAAAAAGTGGGAAAGCAAACCTGCAGGTCCAGGACTCAAACCACTGTCAGACGTGTGCAAGTCCAGCACCTTAAACACCATGCCCTTCCTTAACCACTAGGCCAGGGGGTCAACCCACTCATCTCTTTTAATTAGCAGCATATAAGAATATAAAAATTATACTCTTTTTGTGTATGTCAAGTAAGTTGGTTATTTTGAAAGGAAGGTATTTTAAGAAAAAAATTGTGTCTTATATGTAATCAAATCAAGTAATAAATAATGACAGTATGAAGTGTAGAAATATCCCTTGATGTATTTATATGTTTTTTTGTTTGTTTGTTTTTTTGTATTTCTTGTGTTCAAAGAGGAGTTGGAGAAATGACTTCCATTGACGTGGACCTACAAAGGGCAAGAGATACCTTTGAGAAGTTAACAAAAAATGAATGGATCTCTTTCATGGTAATAGCCCAAGTTTACTTGATAAATGGGACAACAGAAGTTCTTTATCGGCACAAATACGTAGTTTATTCCGCGGGAGCTGAGTGAAAGGGGACTCTGTGGCTGAAATAAGGAGCTACTGTCATTATAAAGTTACTATATCGTTGACACTACATTAGGGGCTGGCATTTATTTTCTTATTGAAAATAAGAATTGTAAGAATTTTAATGTAATAGAAATAATATATACATACTACTTCACAGTTTATGGTGAAGAATAATTTTTTAAAAGATTTATTTATAATTATTACTATTTAATTTGTGATAGGGTACCTGCACTCACCAGAGAGAAAGAGAAAGGGAAAGTGAGACAGCAAGCTGCCAGATCCAGGACTTGAACCACAGTTTAAGTGGGAGTGGCCATGTGGGAGTCCAGCGCCTTAACCACCATGCCACCTGCTGACCCTGCGTTAACTCGTAAGACATTTAGAAGCAGACACTATAGTTCAAAGAGCGTAGATCTACTAGAATAAGTAATGCTGGCTACTGCCGGATTCCAGTGGCTTACCACCGTAAAGATTTCTTTCTTCTCTCAGACCAGGGAGGGATGGAGGTAGGAGAAGCTCTGTCCAGGTTTGTTTGGGGTGACCAGCCTCCTTCACTGCAGAGTCCCTAAGCCCCAGGGCTGTAAGTCCTCCATGGAATCTGTGGTGTTTGGTTGGCAGATGAGGGAAGGGGAGGTCGTATGAGATTTTAGGGGCCAAGCCTAGAGTCATTAGCCATCACCTTCACCTACACTTGTCAGCTGGGGCTTGGTCACATGGCCCTACCTATTGCAGGGGAGAGGGGAGGCTGGGTATGCTATCTTCCTTTGACCCAGGAGAAAAGTGACAAAATATGGGTGAGGTGAACATAACGACACTTTCTCCACCATGGCACATTTTTGGTCAGATAAATCTGGGTATGCATCTGATGTGTCACTTTTTTTTTTTTACTTTCTATTTATTTATTTATTTTGAGAGTTTCTTTTTTTTTTTTTTTTTTTCTTTTGGTTCGTGGCACCCCCCCCA